TTCTCGTGTGAACTTGATGTATTTATCCACAGAGTTGATGTGGTCAGTAAAATGTTGGACTTCCTGAGATTTAATTTTAACCCAGGTGTCGTCAACATACCTGAACCAATGACTTGGTGGTGTCCCTGAAAAGGACGTCAAGGCTCTCTTTTCTACCTCCTCCATGTACAGGTTGGCAACAATAGGAGAAACTGGAGACCCCATAGCACACCCATGTTTCTGCCTATAATATTGCTCCCCATATGTGAAGTAGGTTGACTGCAGGCACAGTTTCAAGAGTTGACACAGTTGTTCTGTGGAAAGCGTGGTCCTGCTGCTCAGAGTGGTGTCTGATTTTAATCTTAAACTGACCACCTCTACTGCATCATCAACAGGAATGCACGTAAAGAGTGATGTGACATCTAAAATCCACAAACAAGGTGTACCTTTAAGGCCATTTGTTAGCATGATTAACTCTGTCACTTACAATGTTTCCAAAGATCTGGCGTCTGTACTCATCCCTTTAGTTGGCAGCTCAGAACACCACATACAGAACACCATGGACTTTGTGGATAAGGTGAGGGATGTCATCATGGAGACTGATGAAACAATGGTCTCTTTTGATGTCACATCACTCTATTATTGTGTATTGTTGTAGCTGTTGTCCATTGTTGTCATCTTTCTTTGTTGAAATCAGGTCTCTCTTGTAAATGAGTCCTCGAGGCTCAATGGGATTTACCTGTAGAAATAAAGGTTGAATGAACACTTTTCAGTAAATTATTACATTTAAATATGAAGTGAAGTTTCCATGGTGTCTGCATAAAGAAATGTAAGAAATTATAAATGTATAGTTTTAAATTTGAATCAGACTCATTTTTTGAGTTTCTGTTCGGTTTTCTCTGGAAGCAGGTGAGCTTAAATTCCTCTTTTCTTACTGAACAAAATATAATTCAATTCAGTTTAGTGTTTTAGTGCCACTTTCATTAACATAATTTTAAAACTCACAGAAGGAAAAATATATTTTGACAAAGTTAAAAAAATAAAAACAGGACATGACCAGCCCTTTGATGTTTTTTTTGTAACAAACATGGACTTAAACAACAGAATTAGAGGATAGGTGTTTAATCTCAGCTAAAATAAGCTATTTGTTAGCTTTAACCTATGGTTAGATCAGGGATTTGCAACATTTACAGTCAAAAGAATGTTTATGCCCCTTCAACAAAACTTTTTTTTTTTTTAAGCAGTAAAACATCTTTTAAGACTGAAATAAAGCAAAAGTGGAATCATGCAAGTAAGTTTTATGCTACATCTAAAACAACTAGTTTACCTCCATCTCTCCCATTTCTGTCTTGTACTATTTGTTTTGTGGTTGGGTTGTACAAACACAGGACCCTGGCCGGCAAAAACAAATGGCAGCTGGGGTCGTCCAAGTTTCTGCCTGATCAAAATTAATGCTGCGCCTCATCAAAATGCACGGCTGTCTGACAGCTAAATAATATTTCATACATAGTCTGGTAACGGTTGTGACTTGTGAGTATCATTGCACAATTTTTTCCGGGACAAAAAAAAAAAAAAAATATATATATATATAATTAATCTTACCGGGACAGCAGGACCGGAAGCTCGATCCGTACGCTACGCCAGTACAGGGTGCTGGAGTGGTGTGCCGATATTCTTCCTATCTCTTGTAATGAAACGGAATAACTGCACATGTGCAATTTTTAACGAGAGTCTGTAGACTAAGATTCTTGCGCCCCAGGGCCCAGAAATATGTCACCAATCAGACAATGTTTTTGAAAGAAACAACTTAACTCATCATTAACTATAAAATATTTATCTTACACCACTAAAAAAATACACATATTTTGATTTTGATTTTTTTAAATAATTTAATTTTTATTTAATTTTTTTAAGTCTTCAGTGTAAACTAGTGAGTGGTTTCAGTGGGTGGGCGGTGCCCAAGCACCCTCTATTGATGAGCCGCCACTATTTAAAAGGTAACAGATCATTGTAATACTTACCATAATTTATTTACATAATGACTTTATAGTAGCCCCTCATTATCGTGGGGATAATGTTCTGGATACCCCTGCAATAAGTGAAAAACCACGAAGTAAGAATGCTATATTTATTTTAGTTTTTATATATATATATATATATATATATGTATATATATACACAAAGGCTTTATAAATACTTCCCACATTCTTGCAATGTTCTTAACTCTTGAACCTAAATAAAGGTTGAATGACAAAAAAAACCCTACGTAATTTTAACAACATACGTATACGTACTGCACAACAGCTACTGCAAAATTTTATATGAGTACTCACCAGCTCTGCAGAAGCTTGGTTTTGATTTGGCTCTGTTCCGTTTGGCTACCCTGCAGCATGACAAGTCCACCGCCACATCCAGGTTGATGTGCGCGTGCTGCTGCTCATCCAAATGAGACCATTGGTCCTTCTGGGTGCTGAACTGTTTTTTAATAGTGAGTATAGATACATGTTCCTGTGAATTTACAGAAATAACTTTTTTCTTTGCAGCTTCTCCAGATATGAACTAACTATGATTTAAAAGTACAACTTTAGAGTGTTTCATTTCAACAGATTTGGAGCAGGAGCTGAACTCATGAACAGACAGATTCAGTGTTACATTTGATGACTGTGTGTTTGTTTTCCTCAGCTACAATCTGCTGGATTCTAAGATCAACACAGTCCTGTCCATGTGCCAAGACACGAACCTCCTGAACCCAGTCCATGGCATTGTGCAGAGTGTGGTGTACCACGAGGAGTCTCCTCCTCAGTACCAGCCGTCATATTTACAGAGTAAGGACAACCCAGGCTGTATGTATGGATTCTGAAGTTCTGATAAACTGAAGTGGACCGGTCTGAGCTATCCCCTCTCCTGCATTTGTCTCATTTCACAGGTTTCGGCTTTAATGGACTTTGGAGATTCGCTGGTCCTTTTTCTAAGGTATGGGTGATGATTGCTCTTAAAAGTTTAATTTTTTCTCTGAAACAGCTGAACAATAATAAATGTCATGATTATATAAACCGATCACACAGACATACAGTTGCAGGGAGGTGGAAAAGACTTTAAAGGGATAGTCCAGTCAACTTCAAAGAGATGTTCTGTCTAACACTTAGCAGAAGTTAGCTCATCATCTTCTAAGACATCAGTCACAGAGCACAGATTGAAAAGTCTTCATCCAGGTATGCTAATGACTAGAAAAGGCAAAGTTTTGTTCAAGCTTTTATTTTTTCAATTCAAAGTTTATTTATATAGCATATTTAAAAACAACGACAGTTGACCAAAGTGCTTCACAAGAATACAACATTGTAGATAAAATATGATAAATGAAATAAATTGAGTTTAATAAAAAGAAAAGTATGATAAAATTCGCTGTAAAATACCAATAAAACAATAGTACTAATAAAAACCAAGACAGCTATTGAATATTTTCTGCAATTTCCCCAAAACTCGAGTCAATCAAATACGAATTTGAGTGAAGGCCAGGGAGAACAAATGGGTTTTCAGTCTGGACTTTCTCAATCTACCCAGTGGAGTTACCACCTGAGTTATGGCCAAACCCCACTGCAGCCTAAACTCTAATGGGTATAACGAAATAAGCCTAACACTTGAGTATTACCCAGAGGGTTAGTTCAACTTAGGCTGTGTTGAAGGTGACTCACCCAGATTTGTTAATGACCTCCATCTGTGAGCCACACCCTTATCTCACCCCATGACTCGCCTAACCTACCAGCCGGAGTTGGATCGTCATCCACAGGGAAACTCACATTAACGGTCGTTCACCTTCATTGTAGAATGGCTATTCTTACCGATCTGGTTCTTTTTAGATTCCAGGGATAGGATTCTAGGATGTTGTCTTAATACTCACAGCTGAGTAAACAGTTTTAAACCTCCCTAATTTGTTAGAATTGAACCAACCTTCTTAAATCCATGACATGAGACAGTGACAATAATGATCCCAAACTTTGTTCATTTCTCATGCTTTGCGTTTAATTAATGATTTGTAGGGGAACAGCTTTATAGCAGAAATTCACACAATGATTATTCGGTTACATAATAAAATCAGTAGTTAAAAGTCCACTTATTACTTGAAAGGTGTTACTGTTGATTGTTGGTTGATGTCCAAGGGACGAAATAGTCCAATCGTGTTATAATTCCTTTGCTCCAATGAGCTGAACCAAAGAATTATAAATCTGTAAAGCTCCGATGAGCAAAAACAGAAAATTATAAATCCATAAGCTCCGTTGAAGAAAAATAAAAATAAATTAATCTTCACTCCGTTGAGCCAAAGTAAGGTAAGGTGATTAGGTTCAGGGGAAGACTTTTGCTGCTCCGAGACCCCAGAGAACACTCAGAAACCGAAGATCGTTACTGGACTTGATGAGCTATCAGCCGACATCTAGAAGTTTACCTCGTGTTCCCAGAATCCTCCGGAGTGAAATATCAAAAATTAAGTTTAGTTGGAAAAATCAAAAAAGTCAAAATCTAACGTGTGTTCCAAAACTCCTTCGAACAAAAAGGAGAAAAATTAAAAAATACGAAGGCATCTTCAGAATCCCATAATGCAGCAAAAATAGGGAAACTCTCCTAAAAAGTATTAATTAAGACTTAAAAAAAAAAAAAAATTTTAATATAACACGTAAATCCCCATAACTCAAAATGTTGTCAAGAATCCTAACATTTTACTGGTGTATATAACTATAAGTGATTTTGATTATTTAATTTTATTTTAGGGCAGCTATTAGTATGTGTCATACCATCTCTTTTCGAAGACCCCTTGTCAAAGGGGATCCTTGACTGATGAAGCTGGTGACAATCATCCCTCAGTTACTTTTAAAGAATATTTCATACTGCATTCAATAAAATCCAATCTTGGAAACTTGAGTTGGCGTTCAGGTCTGGGCTGAGCTGAAAAAAATTATTTTCCTCTTCGGATCTTCAAGTTCCCTTTAGTTACTGACTGCGTCAATGAACTGTCCTTTAAAACTCTCTAAGTGCTTCAACGCCGATCGTTAATGCTGAGCCTTTTTATACATTTGTCTGCTTATTGCATAATTTCTGCATAGCAACAGTCCTGGATACGGACTATTCTACAATGTCAGATCACATGTTCAACTTCACTGTCATTGCTAAAATTATCTTTGACTGCCATTTGGTCTGTTTTTTTCTGCAGAGAGCTTCCTCTTTTTCTGCAGAGAGCCTCTTCACTTAAGTTAACGTGTTCCTGTTTTCTGCAGACAACTTCCTCTTTTTCCTCTTACTGGCCTGGTCATCTGTTCAGACTTCCACTTCCTGTGGTGACTTAACACACAAACATTATCTTGTGAACTTGACCTTTTGACCATCGATTCTCTTCACTTTTAGTCAGTAACACTAATTCATTTACTCAATAATTTAAAGTTAATTCACTTTCAATATAAGCTTTCCCTATAATCTCTTAATTTAAGCTCTATAATGTCTTCAACATTGATTGATTAAGTCTTAATTAGGGGTGTACCGATTTATCGGCCCCGATTTCCTTAATTTTGAGAAATTGGAAATCGGCCGATACTTGCATGAGAAACCAATTTTACTGATTTTTTTTTTTTTTGCTTGTTTGTTTTAACAACAGTTGTCTGAACTTCTTTTATATTTCAGAGCACTACATCATGACCAGTTAAAATAAGTTTGTATTGTTTCTAGGATATTGTTCAAGGGTGTTTTTCAACAAAATAATATTGGAAAATTGAAGGTGCATTGTGACCTTATAACACCTGACATTGTCGCTTATAAAACAAAATCGGTATCAGACAAAATTGGAATCGGCAGGTCAGACTTTTTAGAAATCGGTGATCAGCCAGAAAACTGCAATCAGTGCACCCCAGTCTTAATTCATACACACTCTTAAAGCATAGTACATTAGAAAGACTTCACACACTGTTACATACTTCTTATTCTTCTTTCGGCTTTTCCCTCTTCAGGGGTCGCCACAGCGAGTCATCCTCCTCCACCTCACCCTGTCCTCTGCATCCTCTGTCCTCACTCCATCTACCTTCATGTCCTCTAACTGCATCCATATATCTCCTCTATGGCCTTCCTCTTTGTCTTTTTCCTGGCAGCTGCATTTCTAACATCCTTCTACCAATACACGCACGGTCCCTCCTCTTGACATGTCCAAACCATCTCAGTCTGGCCTCCCTAACTTTATCTCCCAGTTGTTCAACCTGTGCTGTACCTCTGATGATCTCATTCTGTCACAATCCTCACAGTTGGAACCCATTTGCAGGGAGGCGAGCAAGGCAGGAGTTTAAATAAAAATAATTTATTTAAACAACAAAACAAAAGGCTGTCGGTGCAGCAAAACTTACTTTGGCAAAACAGGATAAAAAAACAAGGCTGAACAGGACATCAGAGTACACAGGCAGAGCAGATCATCAGGTGGACAAAAACAGACAGGACAGAGGAGGACTGAGATGTCTGTGAATACAGAACAATGACCGGACAAGGAGGGGAGGAGAGAAAGGCTTTTTATAAGACAGAGGGAGAGTGAGTAATGAGAGCACCTGGGCAGGTGGCTGATGAGGGACAGGTGTGAATGATAAAGACTGAGGAGTGGAGAGGCAGACTGAGGAGTGAGTGGAAAACAGGACCAGATACACAGGAACAGAAACCACACAAAGAGCAGAACAACAATAGCACAAAAAGCAGAGTGGGGAACACAAACACAAACAGAAACAGGAAATGGTACAATCCTTACACATTCCTAATCTTATCCCGCCTTGTCACTCCTAAGGAGAACCTTAGCAGCTTCATTTCTGCCACTTCCATTTCTTTCTCCTGTCTTTTTGTCAATGCCACTGTCTCCAGACCATACAATGTAGCTGGTCTCACCACTGTCTTGTAAACTTTTCCTTTGACCTTTGCTGACAGACACCCTTTTGTCACAAATCACTCCTGAAACTTTTCTCCATCCACTCCATCCTGCCTGTACTTCACTTCTTTACCACATTCCCCATTTCCCTGGACAGTGGACCCAAAGTACTTGAAGTCCTGCACCTTTGTGACCTCTGCTCCTTGTAGCCTCACTGTTCTGCCAGCCTCCCTCTCATTTACACACATGTACTCTGTCTTACTACAGCTGACTTTCATTCCTCTTCTTTCAAGTGCATACATCCACCTCTCCAAGTTCTCTTTCACCTGTTCCCTGTTCTCACCACAGATCACAATGTCATCTGCAAACATCATTGTCCATGGGGATTCTTGCCTGACCTCATCTGTTAGTCAGTCCATCACCAGAGCAAACAAGAAGGGGCTCAGAGCTGATCCTTGATGCAATCCCACCTCCACTTTAAAGCTATCTGTCACTCCTACAGCACATCTCACCACTGTCCTGCTGTCCTCATACATGTCCTGTACCAGTCTAACGTACTTTCTTGCCACTCCAGATTTCCTCATGCAATACCACACCTCCTTCCTCGGCACTCTGTCATATGCTTTTTCTAAATTCACAAAGATACAATGGAGTTCTTTCTGACCCTATCTGTACTTCTCCATCAGCATTCTCAAGGCAAAGATGACATCTGTGGTGCACTTTCTTGGCATGAAACCATACTGCTGCTCACAGATAGTCACCTCTCATCTAAGTCTAGCTTCCACAACTCTCTCCCAGATCTTCATTGTGTGGCTCATCAACTTAATTCCCCTGTAGTTGCTACAACGCTGTACATCACCCTTGTTCTTAAAAATAGGCACCAGCGCACTTCTTCTCCATTCCTGAGGCATTTTCTCACCCTCAAATATGCCATTGAATATTTGAGTCAAAAACCTCACTGCCATCTCTCCAAGACATTTCCAAACCTCCACTGGTATGTCATCAGGTCCTACTGCCTTCCCCTTCTTCATTCTTTTCAGAGCTTTCCGGACTTCACCCTCATTAATCTTTCCCACTTCCTGGTCCACAGTTT